GAAGGTGGGTAAGAGATGCTTTTCTATTCCCTGTGTCATATAATTGAAGTCTCCTTCCCTAGAGATGGGTCAAATAAGCCCAGAAGTCCATTTCCACCCTCAGTGTAGCACTTGTTATGAATCTTGAGATTTGGTATGAAATCTGTCTCTTATCTCTGGACCTGAGTTCAAGTCCCACCTCTGTGACTTAGCTCTGTGAACAACCTTAGGGCAAGTCACTTAAGCTCTCTGAGCTGCCACTTAACTTTAACTGATCACACAGGGACTCCATACCTCTTTGAAGGGTTACTAAGTCAGACAATTTACATAGAGAACGGACAATAAGTACTGGTTCCCTGTTCATCCTCCCAGTACACAGAAGCTTGGATTTTGCTCTCAGTCAGAGTGGCAGTCTACACCCGCAGTTACACACTTGAGGTCTCAGCCTTTTCACCTGAGTCTCTTGGTAGAAGATTTTCTGACCAGAGATTGAAGACTCATAGGAGACTAAGAAGAGGTGAGCAAGTTGAGAAGCCTACTCTTTGTTCACAGACTCTCCCAGGTGCTTTAGTATTTCTCTCACTTAACTGCTGCTACAGCTCTGGGAAGCAAGAATTCTTCATCGTTTGTATGAGGAATCCAAGCTTTAGTGAGAATGACTGACCCTGTAAGTAGAACTGGAATGCAGACCCAGGTCTGATGAACTGTGAAGGCTGTGTTCTTCCCTGTTTTCCGCTCCCCTGCACTTTCTGGTCCACTCCATCTTATCTCCGTTCCCTGGCTCCTAATAAGCACCTGTGGTCCCTCACTTCCCTGAAGAGAGCTGGAGCACCCCATGTCTCTGCTGGGGCTGAGAGAGGCGGAGAGGCTGCACCTCAAAGGGCATGCAGAGCTGCAAGGCCTTCGGTCACAACACAGTCCCCTGGGGTAAAAGCAAAGCCTCCGAAAGGCAGCATTAGCTGTTCCAACCAGCAATTGAAAAACATAAACCGCTGTTTTAGTCATTTGGGTGAGTCACAGCAGAGGATCTGAATGTCTTTACAAAGCAGAGCAGGAACTCTCTGGTATGTGTGTGAGGCCCTGCTGCTCGTGGGTGAGCCCCATGCAGGGCTTTCTAATACTGTACTGGCACGGGCACCAAGAGGTTTGTACTTGGGAGCATTAGAAAGTTCACGACCATCAATGCCCTGCTCCAAGAGGCAGAGGCCAATCCATTCTCACTAGTAAAGCCTCTTCTGGGTTTTCCTGGGGTTAGTGCCCATTCAGCAAACTGATTCTCCTGAGCATTAACTTCTCCAAAAAAGTTGTGGTCACATCCCTTTCCTAGGGGCACCTCCTGGCTGGCTGTAAAACTGCTGCACCTTTGAGACCTTCCTTCTCTCAGAGGGTTCCTTAGTTTTCCAAACTGGACCTTCTTCCTCCTAATGTACAGTCTGTTGCATGGCCACCTAGGACATCTGTTCCTCCTGGGCCATAAAAATAAGGGCAGATGGAGCTTCCCCTTGAGCCCACACAGACCCAGGGTTAGTGACAGACATGTCCCACACAGAAACACCTCTTGTGGAAAAGAAGGCCCAGCTAACCTGTATAATATACCTAACACAGAACCAACTGTGACAATGTTTTATGTAAATAACAGCACATGCATGCTCTTCAGCCAGCCAGATAAACCAAAACAAGAATTAAAAGACAAAAGAAGATTGAAAGCAGCTTCTTTCTTAAGGCTCCTCTATGTTACTCTTCCTGCAACATAAAGCTTTTTAAGAGTTACTATTTAAAATCACCAAACACCCCGCTCTGGTACTCCCATTAACTAGAGACCAATAAAAAGTTGATCCAAGGGACTGACCCAACCTGGATATATTTTAGAGTAGCAGGACAAGTCAACTGGTACCATAAAGAAACATAAAAAGGTTGAAAGCTTATGCCCAGACTGCAGGGTGGTGGGGTTTTCTTTCTTTCTACTTTTATCTCTCTAATTTTTTTTATGTTAAAATATACTTGCTTCCATAAAAATGTTTATCTGAGTAGCAACTGGATATTTCAAGACAATACCAAGGACACTATTTTATCCACTCCACAGTGAAGTTGATAAAAGGGCCAAATACGCCCCCATGTGGCTACAGAGGAAAATGCCTCGGTTTAAGTAAGAAGGAGGGGCTTACAGGAGGCCTCGAATTTTCTACAGGCCTTTGCATCTTTTTCACACCCTGCAGTTTTATTACTTGTCAGAGCTTAGAAGTTGCTGTGCTCACATGGTAAGCTTTGATTTCTATCAAGAGAAGAGAGGTTTCATGTTTTAAAAAATATATACTAAAGTTTTAAGTAATCCACACGCACCCTTAAGATCAGCTGAAACTCCAACACAGAGACACTAACCCTACTAGGACAAGCAGCTGCTCTGGCGTGTGAATACCTGGGCAACGATGTGAGGTGAAGGGACCAAACTGCTGGAAGCAAAGCAGATTCCAAAGAACAAAAGCAGCTTATTCCCCTCCTTGGAAAACAAGTTCAGCTTCTGTTTCCACTTCGGTTATCAAGAGATCAGAAGCCAATGCAAGGGACCAGAATAGAATTTAAGATAATACCACAAAGATCGTATTCCACACCAATCCATCAACATGAACTTGACCTCTCAGTCCATCAACATGAACTTGACCTCTAGACACTTCGGCAAGTATCACTCAACATTATGATACCTGGGTCAATAACCTATTTCTTCTAAAAAAATTCCTCTTCCCCATATCAGAGGTGTAGGCTACCACATATCACACGCATTGTAAGTATATGCATAAGTGCAAGAATTTTTAGATGTTTTTTCAAAATGTTTCAATGTTCTCTCATTAAATAGGAATAACTATTCAGAGAAGGAAACGAAGATACACAAATGCAAAAATGGCACTCACAGCTCTGGCACTGGAAGCTTCTGTTGTCACATACTTTTTCCATTCTAAGAGCATTACCTTAACACCTACAAAACGTCCTCCATGACACCAGGCCTTAAACCTGAGGCACCAAACACATACAGACACAAGACACATCTCCTGGGCCTGCAGGTCCACAGAGGATTCTTTGGAGACCTCTAAGTATCAGACTTAAACAAAGGCTAATACTGCACCTGAAGCACATTTTGAACAGGCGAGGAGCATAAATAATGCACTCCTGTGACATGGAAAAATACAAGGCATCAGATGAGAAAAGAGCATAATATAAAACTACAGCATGAACACAACCAAAGTTGAACCCACACACTCACACACCCCATCTACAGAAAGAGATTAGAGACTAGAAGGAAACTGAAATACCAATAGTGGCTGTGCTTCAGAAGGTTGAGAGTAGGGGTGATTTTGAAGCTGTTTTCTCCTTTCATCTTTCCAAATCTTTAATAATGAGCATACACTACTCTTTTATAGTGAAACAAACAAGCAAATACTTAATGACCACTTATCAAGTGAATGGCTGTCACCTAACTCACTTATCCTAAAATTTTATGAAGATATAAACTAGGTTTGGGTCCAGCATATGATTCCAATGTGTCCTAAGAGGTAAGCAGAGCAGGATGGTGTGGGTGGGTACAGGAGATGAGCACAGGAATCTAGGGCCCTGCAATGAATCTTGGCTCTGTGGGACCCTGGGTGTTGGTTTCCTTATCCTGTCAAAGAAGAGGCTGGACTAGCACAGTGGTTCCTAATCCTCAGTGAGTTACTAACTGCTCTCTCTAAGTCAAGGACCCTTCCCTCCAGAAGAAAAACCCAAATATGTCCAGAGCTTTTGGAAATAATCCAGGAGGCTATGGGTTCTCCAGAGGTTCACAGACCAGGTTAAGAACACTGGTTGGTTAATATGTTCTCTTCTGCAGCTCTGTCTCCACGGCCACAGGGAGGTATAATATGGTCCTATTTCCATTTCCTGTATCTTTGCTGAGGGACTGGTCTAGCTGCTGCTAAAGTATGCCAAGGTCATCAGTTTTCTGCCCCAACCAATGTCACCTTTTAAAAGTGTGGCTTAACTACGCAGTCTTCTTTGCAGATAGCAAGGAGCTCTGGCACCATACTCAGAAATTTCAGGCTAAACAGAACCCTAGGCTGCTGGTGTAAAATCAAGCCATGAAAAGTCAAGCACAGCAGAGGATAACTGAGACACCAAGAGAATAAAAGACTCCTTTTCCGAGACAATCCTGCCAAGCCCTGACACTACAATTAGAAACATGTTTTAAGAACATGGTTACCTCGGCCTTAGAATTCTCCAATGGTAACAGGTAAACAAAGAAGGGATTACAAGGGAACCCCAAAAAACCATCGTTGATCAGCAACAACTTATCTGCCAATAGATGAGACTTTCTTAAGCAACGTACTACACATAACTATCTTGCTCCATTTTTATTTCCATCATCAATCACCTGCCCATTCAAAGCCAAGAAAATATTTTCCCCAACCCCAGGATTCAAACAGGATTGACAGTTTTCAATTCTGAATACTCTTATATTAGCTCCACTTCAAATGTCGAAACAAATTAAAAAATATCACACACCAGTAAAACTGCTACAAAATAGTACTTTAAACAGGTTGGAGGTAGGGGTATGGCTTCATTCTGCTGTATCTCAGTCACATCTGGCAGTTTTGATTCCCTAATTCTGTTTCTGAAATAACCAACATCAAAACAGACAAGAGTCAGGGATATGCCAATGTTTCCGACGTTTCCAGGTGCTTCCTGATTCGCCCTTCTTCCTGGCATTACTGAGCTTTCTCTCCCTGACTCTCCCGCCACCTACCATTAGGCCAGTTCCCTTCTCAGGACTGACACAGGGGTCATCAATTATATGTACCCAAAGTCTTCAGTCTTGAAGGTGACTTTAGAAGAAGGTACAGGGCTATCTGGTATACCACCTCCACCAGGGGGTTGAGAAAGTCACCCCTTCTCAGGAAGCAACCAGGGGTGACAGAGTGTGATGCTCTGTAAGTTCTGACCAGGATCAGACTGCAAAAATAATCCCTTTGGCCTCAGAAAACCAGTCTAAAGCTAAGGTGATCAGCTTAAGTCAGGTTTAAGTCCCTTGTGAGTTTACTGATGGCTTTTTGTTGATGCAAATAACCACAATTCTTCCTCTGAACTACCATACTACAGTGCCCTGTTAACTTAAAAAAAAAGGGAGGGGGATGTTTAAAATGGATTCATTTGTTTCAGATAATTCCATATAATGCTACCAGTAGGCCAATGGTGGGATTCAGCTTGCCACCCCACAGGCCACACTCCAAAGCAAGCTGCTTTACTGTGCAAGGAGTTTGGAGTTAACTAGCAACAAGCCTGAAAATTTGGTTACGTATATAAGTACAAAGCTGGTTCATCAAATCCCTGTTCTGGCCCTCAACCCAATGCATTTCAACTAAGGCATCATCTACCTCCTTCTTAACGTTTATCAAACACTTGAATAGGTAACATCCAGCCACTCTTTGGAGATGGTTCCCTTTTTCAGACACTGGGTTGCTGAACTGCTCAGAAGCCTCTTGGTCCTGGGCTCCATTACTGGAGCCTTTACAGCTTTCCCAAACCTCCATCTCTCCCTTTTCCTCACTCCTTTCATCCTCCATGGGTTCTGGGTTTTCCTCCTGGGAAAGCGAGTCCTGGTCTAGGCCATGGCCCTCCACAGTGGCAGACTCGCCTTCCTGTAGAGCAGGCCCGCACAGAGCACTCTCCTGGGGACCCTGAGCCAAGTCTTGGTTCTTGCCAGACTCTTTAGCGGGGGACCTTTTCTCTTCCAAGGCTTGGATGACGTTCTTGGGAGCTCGGGGAACTTCTCTCAGTTGTCTAACTCGGTCCCTTTTCTTCCTCCTTAAGTGAATCCAGGAGTTTTCTATGGCTGTTAGGAAAAGGCTAACTTCCTCCTTTCCACAGGGAACTCGTTTATGCTGGACCTGTTTGGAGGAAAAACAGAATTTTATAGGAAATCACTTTTCTCCTCTGAAAACTCCTTAGAACTTTCTTTTTTAAAAAAGAAAAGAGGGCTTCCCTGGTGGCACAGTGGTTAAGAATCTGCCTGCCAGTGCAGGGGACCAGGTTCGAAACCCTGGTCCAGGAAGGTCCTACATGCCGTGGAGCAACTAAGCCCGACTAAGTCCGTGCACCACAACTGCTGAACCTGTGCTCTAGAGCCCAACGAGCCACAACTACTGAGCCTGCGTGCCACAACTACTGAAGTCCGCGCACCTAGAGCCCGCCCCACAAAAAAAGAAAAGCCACTGTAATGAGAAGTCCGCACACCTCAGCAAAGAGTAGCCCCTGCTTCCCGCAACTAGAAAGAGCCCCGCGCACAGCAATGAAGACCTAACGCAGCCAAAGATAAATAAACTTTTTTAAAAATTAAAAAACAGAAGAAAAAAATAAAAGAAAAAAGAGAGATTATTGTAAGTACTTCTTCAATGTGCTTATTAACCAGGTACCTTCAGATCGGTGAGAATTTTTTCAATCCATGTTGTCACAACTACTATGCCTTCCACTGTCTCAGAGCCCAAAGACGATGCTTTGAGGGATAATTCTTTCATCACAGATTCCAATACTACAAATGTAATGGGTTTCCTTGGCTTCTCTAATTTTCTTCGCTTACTTGGTGGTGACTGAAAGAAAAAGAAGGCATGGGAGAAGAGGGGAGGTTATCCAAATAACTAAATCTCATGCCTTATAATGAATTCAGCTTGGGAAATATCCATGACCTCTGCTACCAATCACAGAGCACTAAAAACACAAAGGCCTTTGCATATTTATTTTTAATACTCAAAACAACCCTGCAAAATGGGTTTATCATCTCCCCATTTTACAGAAGGGAAAAACTAAGATACAGAGAGCCTATGTAATCAGCTCCAGGTCGCACAGTTAGTATTTGTCAAGTTAGGATTTGAACCCCAAAGCCAGGTTCTTTTCTGCCATACCATGCTGCCTGTGTTCTGGCTATCAGTACGAAACTCCTCCACTTACTAAATGCCCTTAATCTACCTGTTGTGCCCAAAACAGGCCTGTGCAAGTATTTCTTTCATGGCACTTCAAGGACCCCAAGGGCATTGTGTTATTTTCTATAAAGAAATGCATGGCTTAAAATCACCACCTTGTAGCCTGAGTTTATACTTGCCAAGGCTTGAAAGAAAGCAGCTGGTGAGCCACAGTTTGTGAGATCACATGCTAGGAATGACCAGGGCCATCAGAATTACATGGGCGGAAAAGGACGCTGAATCTTGGTTAACATTAGGGCCAAGCCAGTGGCTAGCTAAGCACTGCCTCTCAGCTAGGGAGAGGGGACACCAGTACCTAAGAGGACAGCGGATTTGAAAGCTGGTTCCACATAACTCAAGGTTGTCGTCTTTCTTTAAATTTCAAGCTTGGAAAGTGATTTACTCTCTACCCACTAGAGGGACTCAAGTTCCATTTTAAAAACCAAGTGACACTGCTGTATTTAAAGTTTATTTCTTTAAAGTAAAAACTTGCTAAATTTTTTTAAATGACTCAGCTAAGACCAGATATATTATGGATACTTTAAGAGACAGACTTGTAGACAACTTTTATCAAAACTTAAGAAAAATTAAGCTAATTCTAAGGTTAAATGGGTCAAAATGAGCAGGATTATAAGAAGAAAGGCTCAAAAAAAGAAAACACCTAGTCAGCTTTGAAGATCTTCTTCTAAAAAAAGGCCTCTGATAATTGTGCTGCTAACTCCAATTCTGCCTGGAAACAGTGACAGAGCACGTCCATATACACACAGTCAGGTCCAGTTACTGGGTGAGGCCTTATAGGAACTAACCAGCAACTCCCTACCCCACACATACACAACAAAATATCCAGTTTATTCTATGCTAGAAAACTTTTAGATGGTATTTCTTAGAAACAATCTACATTTTCTCTTTATACCAGATATTAACTAATAAAAAATGGAGATTAAAGAATAGAAAACAAGCTTAGAAGAAAAGGACCAAAAACAAAGGGCATGGTGTATGAGTCAGAAACCTGTTCGTGAGAAATGAATGGTGGACTCTAAGCCCTGAGTCTGAACTTGCTCAGTTAATGTTTCAGACAAGATGAGACAAATTCATGTTGACATTAAGATAGTAGTATTGTTATTACTCAATCACCCAGCATAAGAAACATAATTTCTACGATTATGGAGAGCCTAACACTTTGCACTAAGGAGCTTAAGATATGATTATTAAGCTGGGGGTGAAAAAAGATGGTGGTGTTGTAGGAGGAGGATGGGGGAGAAGAATCAGATTCCCGTTCCACCTCCTGACATCCAAGGCTGTTAACATGGAAAGGTCACCGTCACAGGGCCATCCCTGACAGCACACCAAAGGTCATCTGCAAATATGGCTAAAAGGATAACGCCCCATCTCTCTTCTGACAGAGGTGGTAATCATTTGTGCTCACAAATTCCAACCAGCAAAGTGAAGATATCGCCATGTTTCTCATTTCCTGCACTATTATTCTCCAAAAGTAAGAATGGACTCATCATCATTTCTAGAACTAAAGGAGAAAAATGCATCCTCACCAAACTTAACAAGAGCTCTATCAAGGATCCACTTTACAAGTTCTAAGGGAGTCAGAAACAACAAAACAGTTTATTGCCTTCTTACACCAGTACTAAAATGAAACCTTCTCTATCTCATATATTGCTCCTTTACCTTGCATCCTGGCTCCAGTGTTCCATATACAATGGTCAATCAACAAATCTGGTATTTCTGAAGATTTTTAGTGAATTGTTTCAATACACACACATATTCTCAGATTTGTTTTAGTTTTACTCTATTATAGAAGCTAGGTAGGCACTCAAAGAGACAGATAATTTATACTTTAGAAATTCTCAAAGTTTTTAAATGATTAAAGATTAACTTAAGCCTGGCTTACAGCAATCATTCCTCTTCCTTTCTCGTTCGTACTGTAAATTCTTAGTAGGCAGGGCCAGAGTAAAATACAGGAGCAGGTCTTAAAGAAATTAATAGTTAAATTCAACCCCACAGGTTCAACAGTAGGTAACTGTATATATACCCCGTTACAACACCAGTAAATAGAAGCTGTCTGTTTTTCCCCAACTGAGATGATCTTAATTTGCTAATATGCTTTTAAATCTCAAACCACAAATATTTTCAATGAAGAGTTCTACACTCAAACTGTCATAATATAGTTTAGAAGACAAAGTAACATAAATAATTCAACATTTTAAAGCATAAATTTAAAAATCAATAATTTACAATGGTTAATTCAGTTTAGTGCAAAGAATCAGAAGGTGAATTTACAACTGGCTTTGGATTAGAAGATGAACTACTGTATTACCCAGCTGAAATTACAATGTGAAAGAAGTCTGGTGGGGAGCTGTAAATCCCACAGGGGATACAGGTTTTGTATTGCTTGAACTGCAAGGATTCAAAGAATAAGAATCAACAGGGGGAGGAGCGTCAAGTGTTACTATACCGAAACCATAAATTGGACAAAAACAGTTCTTAAAATTTTAAAGTATACTTTACCTAGCAGAGCTGTCTTTAAATTTCTTAAATCATCACTCTTATATTAATTTCTAGATCTCAGTGGTACAATTAGTCAGGAGACTTTCAAATTAGGTGTAACCTGACACATCCCGTGTAGCATCTGCTATGCTGCTGAAGCTCTGCTGTTAACTACAGCTAAGGCAGAAACTCCCAATGAAGCCACAGGCTGCATGAAAGCTTTAAGAGCTCCCTCGTATCTGCAGGAAAAGGGAGTCATTCACTAAGATCTGCTGAGCATGAAGCCACAGCCTCCTCGTTTAGACAAAGCAGCTTCTAGAATGGTCTGGAGGGGAAAGGAGTGCTCTTGGCTACTGCACTGAGGTCCTCCCTGCTCTACCATACTCTGAATGGCTACTGCCCCAGGTCCTCCAGGAACAAGCAGCATGTCTGTAAGCTGTTATTCAGCAGGCTGTCATTTATGGAGAAACAAAGCCAAGCAGCCAACACTGACACCTGGCTGGAATACACACAAGAGGTGCGCTGGGAAGGACAGTCAGACCATCTTGCCTTATTCAAATGTGTATCAGCTCTGCTGCCATGAAGTGGACAAAATATTTTGTTGTCTAAAAGTGTGGCTTCCTTATTAACAGCCCAGTGGCATTTCTGTTGTTACCTAATCTGCCAGGTTCCTGTTTCTAAAATGTCCCTGTAATCATTCCTAGATATATGCAAAAACAATAAAAAGTAAAAAATCAAGGGGAAGAAAAGTTTATGTAGAATGCTACCTATCTAAGAAGGGGTGGCTATAACTACATGTGTATTTCTTTATATTAAAACAACCAAACAAAAAACAATGGAAGGATAAATTATAAAATCGTTTAAATAGTAACCCAAGGAGAAGACAGATTGATTGGGGTGAAAGAGACAAGAGAAAGAAGCTAGACTTCTAACTATATCCTTTTGAATATTTGATTTTGAAACCATGGGTAAATATCTTTTACAATTACAAAACAAAATTAAATAGTACAAAAAGGGGCAATCCCTAAAAATATAAAGTAGAATGAAACACATGAACGTAACTGTGTACGGACTGGTGGCATAAACCCACAAAAAGGAAATATTCCAAATGACTTTAAAATCCATCATGAGACAGTCCCCAAGGACAAAAGAATGAAAAAAAAAAAGCTATTTTCAAAAATCATTTGGTGATGTTAACTTTGAGACTGCCGTGGTGTATCATGGGCCAAAACAAATGAGTAATTAATTATGGTCAAGGACTGAGATTTTTGGCATGGAATTTTTGAATGGGAGATATAGATAGACAATTGGTGAAGTTAAGCAGAAACTAAATAGAAAGTCGGAACTAGGATGTATTTTTTTTTTTTTTTTTTTCCTTGCGTTATGCGGGCCTCTCACTGTTGTGGCCTTTCCCATTTGCGGAGCACAGGCTCCAGACGCGCAGGCTCAGCGGCCATGGCTCACGGGCCCAGCCGCTCCGCGGCACGTGGGACCCTCCCGAAACGGGGCACGATCCCGCGCCTCCTGCATCGGCAGGCGGACTCTCAAGCACTGCGCCACCAGGGAAGCCCAACTAGGATGTATTTTTTTTTTTTTTTCCTTGCGTTATGCGGGCCTCTCACTGTTGTGGCCTTTCCCATTTGCGGAGCACAGGCTCCAGACGCGCAGGCTCAGCGGCCATGGCTCACGGGCCCAGCCGCTCCGCGGCACGTGGGACCCTCCCGAAACGGGGCACGATCCCGCGCCTCCTGCATCGGCAGGCGGACTCTCAAGCACTGCGCCACCAGGGAAGCCCAACTAGGATGTATTTTTTTTTTTTTTTCCTTGCGTTATGCGGGCCTCTCACTGTTGTGGCCTTTCCCATTTGCGGAGCACAGGCTCCAGACGCGCAGGCTCAGCGGCCATGGCTCACGGGCCCAGCCGCTCCGCGGCACGTGGGACCCTCCCGAAACGGGGCACGATCCCGCGCCTCCTGCATCGGCAGGCGGACTCTCAAGCACTGCGCCACCAGGGAAGCCCAACTAGGATGTATTTTATCTTTAAAAACAAAATCGAAAAATAGTTGCTGCCAGCTCTGGGGAAGAAAAAAAAAACAAAAAACAAAACATATTTTTGCGGGGAGCAACCTGTCA